TTTCAGAAAAAGATTTATACTATCTTTATAATGCAGGATAATACTGTAAGACATGTAATTCAATCCATCACTCATAATTTATGTGTAGGTGCACAAAGTGCAATAAAAACTGTATTTAAATATCTACATGTCTTTTGGCCTTTTAAAGAGTGAAAGTTCAGTTCTTGAGGGTAGTCCCTGCGCCTGGAGCATAACCACCATACCACACTTCAAGATCTATCTCCTCTAATTTATTTTCCTACATAGACTATCCTCCTGTGGAGGATAGCTGCTCTGTCAGTGACACAGCCTTGATTTTTCAGCAGGGGCTTCAGGCAGTGTGGGGTTAAGTGTCTTGCCCAAGGACACAACGGCAGCAGACATCAGTGGGAGTCGGTGGAGTAGCACATAGACTATGGTATCACAATATTCTATTATATCACACAGCAGCACTTGGTATGACCTCACTGTCCAAACAGCTGGCCCTGTCTGCCGCTGGATAAACACAGCTGCTCCTGCAGATTAGATCTGCTCCACTTAAACTTGTGTCTGTGATGGAAATGGACCAGAGGGAATCTCAATGAGGTGTAGGCCGCAGATACACCCTAAAAACACATTAGTTGGAATTACCAATCAAATTGCTTATGCCTATATTGGTTATATTAAACCAACACATTGGTCAGGGACTTTCCAATCATTTGGTTGAGAGTCAACCAATCTATTTCTTCAAACCAATATTGGTTGGATTGATCAATATATTCGTCAGAATAACGAATTTGTGACAGTTGGCGCTATAACCATGATATATTGGTTGAAATGTATAGTAGTTGCGGGCACCTTATCTAAAATGCACTTTCTTAAATGTAAATTCATGATTCAAGATTCATTTGAAAGGAAATTTGGGTCACATTTTTGTTTAGCCCTCACAAATTAACAGCCAATTAAGTGATAATTAGTGTTAATTAGCTCTAAATTGGTATTTATTAAACACTTATTAGTTCTTATCAGTGTTGGGCAAGTGACTTTGAAAAAGTAATTAGTTGCAAAATACTAGTTACTTCTAAAACAAAAAGTAATCATTTACAATACTTCATAGCAGAAGTTACGTTACTTTTGGATTACTTTGTGTCACATAAAAAGAGAACAAAATCATGTTTGTATGTTTCCTTTATTAAAATAATTTAAATAAAGGTAAACAAAAATAAGTGGCAGAACATTACCATGAAAGTAAATGACTGTGGAGCCAGGACACTTCTCCAGATGTTTACAAATATTTTTACAGTCACTTGTTTTGTCCAATTCATTCGCACGTAGCATTTTTCTGAAAGACGGCGACTCTATACTAGCAGTATCTCATTTATAATATAAACCTAAGTAAATTTGTATCCGTCTTTGAGGTTTTCTGACAGCATCAAACAAGTTCAGGTTCTTATAACGTGTCGGTGTTGTGTGTCGGTGAGTACTGTCTGAGGCAGCGGCTGACACCATCTGTAGGTACTACTTAATCAGGCCTTGCTTCGGGCAAGTACCATTTATATTTTACTTGCCCAATGTCAAAAGTTACATGCCCAAATATTTATCAATACAATGAGTTAACAAGATTTTGGCAATAAAGTGTCACTGTGTGGAATAAAAATCCACTCTCAGCACAAAAAGTCAAATAATGACTCCCAGGGCTGTTAAGTATGCAAAATAAAAAAACAAGATGCCTGTCGTGGTGTGTTCTGTTATATTTGTTCACAACATTTTACTTTACTAACATGCATTTTACTTTACTAACATGCATTTTACTTTACTAACATACATTTTACTTTACTAACATGCATTTTTCATGCAAGGGGAAATTTAGGTACCCAAGCTTTAATTTTGTGAGTTTTGGCTGCGCTTTGGTAGGAGACATGGGGGAAACCTGCCCTTGCAACAAGCTGGGGTTGGTCAATGGTTCTGTCTGCGCGTCTGTCCGCACGTCTATGGTTCTGTCCGCACCTCTATGGTTCTGTCCGCGCTCCTATGGTTCTGTCTGCGCATCCATGGTTCTGTCCGCGCCTCTATGGTTCTGTCCGTGCTCCTATGGTTCTGTCTGCGCTCCTATGGTTCTGTCCGCGCGTTTATGGTTCTGTCCGCGCTCCTATGGTTCTGTCCGCGCTCCTATGGTTCTGTCAGCGCTCCTATGGTTCTGTCCGCGCGTCTATGGTGAAGAAAGACCAGCTAACCCCGACGCTAGCAAGCTTGACTCACCACTACAAACAAGAACCCTGGCTGCAGGCTCCGAGAAACTATCTCCCAGTGAATAGTCTTTTCTGTATCATCATGTTTATGCTGTGAGTGAGACGGATTGATTTTATTTGACAGTGTGCTCTCCGCTGTTTTGTGAACAAACGTGATCTCATTCTGTCGGTGGAATGAATAAAACCCGTTGACTATAACATAACAAACATACTTTATATTTGGGTGTTTTCTATTCATGACCAACAACAAAAACATAACATTTTACCAATGGGGACTCACGGTTTTACAAAGTTTAAGTATTCAAAGAAATGATATAAATATAAATATTTGAGCATACACTATAACCCCTTGTTTGCAGGTCTACTTTTATGAACCGTTCATGCACAGTAGTGATCCGCGGGTCGGCCCAAAACCCGTGGGTCCCGCGGTTTCGGGCAGGTTGGATGCCTCAAAAATATGAGTCATGTCAGGTGCGGGTGGGCCGGGTCAAAAAGCTCCTGATCGGTCTGTATATAATATGCTTATGTGAGCCACGGTGTGGGAGTCCCGAATACCTTGAGTACATTTGCAATCGCGCAGGGAGGCTGTTAAACAAAAAATTCATTGTGACAAACACCCGTAAGATCGCCACCTTCCTGACTCCCTGCTTTAAAAGCCTCAAAATGCTCCAGCCCGATGAAAGACGTGTAATCCACACAGAGGCGTGGAGACTGATGACGGTGTGGGCATCACAGCAGAGGCTTCCTGAACCAGGTGCGTAATTACACGAGCTACAGGTGTTACGCGGGCTTAGCCTATATTAATATGGTATGTGTAACATCTCAAAATAGATTGATTGAATATTCCCTTTTCCTCATTATTTAGTAGTTTGCGGAGGAGATGGAGAGCAGCGAGAGAAGTTTGGCAGGGGAGGAGCCGTGTGGAGTTATAAAATAAATAGTTTACAGCTTGCTAAATTATTTGAAAGCATCTTCATTATGATTGTTATATTTATGCATTTATTATAAATGTCAGGGATGCCAGAGAAAAGGCGTCGGCTTTTTGCTGAGTGGGAAGACAGAGGAGCTGTTTGAGGCAGATGATGACGTTCAGCGTTATATTACCAAGTTTCTCTTTCCATAGCAATATTCTCTCTTTTTGAAAAGATCAAATATGTTATATATCCTAGTTTATCACTTGTGGCAAAAGCCGTTTTATGCATCCCGGCCACAAGCGCTTCCAGTGAGCAAAATACATTTTCAATAACAAGCCTGACATTAAAAGTTATTTGTTCCGAACCCATGGAAATGTTATCTTTAAGGAAATGTTAAAAATGTCCCGATCCGTTCTGTAAATTGACCTTTATTTATTCAGTCAATTAAAATTTGTATGTTGTTTTATCTGAAAAAGAGTTGTCCTTTGATTTTGACAACAAAACAGTAGATTTAATGTCTGCGGGTTTGGGGCGGGCCGGGTTGAGAAATCAATGCGCACTTCTCTGGGTCGGGCGGGCCGGATTGAGTTTTAATTTGGGGCGGGCGGGTCAGGTTGTAAAAAAAGCTGACCCGCGCATCACTAACGCACAGTAAAGTCAACAGAAATGCAGATATATTGAATTACGTCTCTGAGGGGTTGGGAGATCAACAAGGTGTGTCTTAAAGCCTTCTCGTTACACAAAGGTCGCCTCATATCCTCCTGTATTAGCACTGACCTTCTCCTGCTCCTCACTGTCACATGTCGCCAGGAAGGGGAAGAGGATATAATTAGCTCAGGAGCAAGAGCCCGGCCTGGGGTGAGTGCACATTGCCCCGGTCAAGACTCTGATTGCAGAATATGTCGATGCCCACTGGACCACCCTTTACGCTGCTATAGAGTACATGAGCGAATGGACATGAAGGCTATTTGAGAAGGAGAATATAAGAACAAATTGTATAAGCTTTGGCAAATAATAAATAATGTATTTGTTCATAGTCACAGAAAGATTGTGTTTTTAACACTTTAATTGTTTGTAAACATTGTGACGTATTTTGGTGGGCGGGGCTTAGCCTGGAGGCAAAAAGCTAGAGCGAGTGCTATGATGACAAGCGGGAGTTAACAAGTTTGGTGTGATATTTTTCATAATGGAGGATTTCGAACAGAGTGGTTCGGTCTCGGATCAGTCGGACTATGTACAGACACTTTCTCTGCAGGACCGGGACAACTATTTTACTAAATTAACGCTAGCGGATGGTAGCAGGCTGGCTGACCCATACACCTTGCGGGAGTGGCATGAAGACTTGACGGGTCTGCCGAGGGTGGAGTGGCCGGACATCTACATGTACCTAATCGAAACACCTTGTGTGTACAGCAAAGAAAAACTCAAAGCGTATAAATCGTTAGATGCCTACAATTATGTTCTTAATGGTCATGTTCAAACAGTTGTCTACAACAACTTACGTCCGGATCTTTGTGTGCTGCGGTCCCAAGTTTTGCCTAGCCAACGCCAAGGCAAGAAGAGTGCTATGTACGACGCCTGGGCTATCGTAAATCGGGAAAACAATACAGTTTTGACAGCAAACTGCACTTACATGGCTGGGTAAGTTTAAGCTAACAAATACTTGTTTTAGGTTAGTTGTATTGTAGTAACACTAGCTTTAACGAGTGTAGCAACACTAGCTCAGCTGTAACGTCTGGACCATTAGGCTATGCGTTGATATGACATTCTGTTGTTTTTAGGGAAAGAGAAACATATTTGACATTTTCAATGATATATTGCAGGTTAGGGTCTTGTTGCAGTCATGCAGCAGCAGTACTGCTTAAAGTAGAGCTGTATGTTAGGATGGGACGAACGGAGGAGCCAGCATGCACGTCAGGAGAATGCCTCTGGAAAAAAACAAAACGTGAGGTCAAACCAGCAAGAGTTAAGGAGATCAGTTTCCAGAGGCCCAGAAGCAAGTTACAAGGAGTACCACAGAAAGTCAGAAAGTTGAATTGCAGCGCCAAAGGCATGTACCACACTATAAAGAAATGAAATCGGCAAATGTATATTCAGTTACTCATGTACAGTACATGTTGCTTACTCACCTATTTAAATTGTAATTGGGAAATGTGTTCGAACAGTCAAAATATATGCACATCACCAGGTGCTACAGTGAACTGTGAATTATGAAAAAGCCTGCACACTTACTCCAAAAAGACTATTTATTGTGATAACGTTTCGATCCAAGTGGATCTTCCTCAGGTCAAGAGGAAGACCTGAGGAAGATCCACTTGGATCGAAACGTTATCACAATAAGTGGATTAAGTGTGCAGGCTTTTTCATCATTCCACTGGAAAATTTGTGAAACCAAATAAGAAATTTCACATCTAGTTTATGTACTACAGGTTTTGAGTTATAAATTAGTGTGAATAATTAATACAAATGATTGTTTGCCTAATTTTTGTTGTCTTGTTTGTAGAACTTACAGATGCAGACATCCTGGAGCTCAAGCTGATTGCCCCAGAAGCTGCTGTCCTGACCAGTTTTGAAAATAGTGACACAGACACACAGGGCCGGAGTGGGACAACATTTCAGGCCGGGAGCTTTTCATCCATTCAGGCCAAACAAGGTTCTAAATTTGGGTTTTTGTCATTGTATTTTGATGTTCTTTTAATAGTTTTAAGATTGACTGTCAAAACTTTTGTTTTCTTTATTTCTTTTTATATTGACTGTTTATATAATCTCGGACGTTTAAAGATTGTTGTACGTTGCTTAGCAACGTAACGTTTATGGAGTTTAGTGAGAATAAAGACACACACACACACACAATGAACTAAGTGTTCATTAGTGTATAACTATAACAAGCTAATCAATTATTGTTAAAAAAGTAGTAAGGTAAAATCACATCGTTACAGCTCATATAAAAGGAAAAATAACAACGTGTATGAACCATCAGTTGGAGAGACCACTCATTTCAAACGGGGAAGCTACACTGGGTGCACTGCTAGGCTGGCCTGGCTGTGTAGCCGACGTGTGACGTCACATTTGTTTAATTTTGCTCTGGCCCAATGACAGTAAAGCTTTGGCCAGTGTTGTGCCAGTTCACAGCTTTTCTGAACAAGTTCAAGTTCAGTTCATACATGCTCAAAGTGAACAGTTCACGTTCGAAGTTCTCAATTTTAATTCTGAACTAGTTCAAAGTTCAGTTCATTTTACTTTTTGCGAGATATTCAAATAAATATTTTTTTTTTCACTACGAGCTAGAAATCACAATACGTGGTATATATATAATTATATATATATATATATATATATTTATATCCTGTACACTGCACAGGATGTTTTGACTCCAATGCAGACAAGATTTACATGGGTTTCAATGGGAACTGAGTTGTCCCATCTCTGCTCATAAGTACAAACTGTAATGCGCTGCAGAACGTGTGTCTATACTTTATGTCAAATGTAAACAGCCCTGTGTCACTGACTTACCCCTGTGTTTTCATCACGGCACATGTGAGTCCAACAACCAATGAATAGCACTAGCATATAGAGATATCTCACGTGACGTCACGATGCCTCGAACTCGCGGGGCATCCGCCATACTGGAGGACAAGCAAACGCTGTATGATAGTGGCGTGCACCCGGGACCGCATAAACATGTTCAAAATGTTTGCCGTTTTTGGCTGCAGCAAAAGGAGAGACAGGGAAAATAAGTTGTGTTACCGACTGCCAGCCGTCCTTACTTCACACGGCTCAAAAACAGAAGAAATCTCAAAGAAACGAGAGAGAAATGGCACAACCATAAGCAACAACAAAAAACTAATAGCCCCCAGAGCGCCCGAATATGCTCGGATCATTTCATTTCTGCTAAGTGAAATCAATTTGATGGCGGATTTAGTGTTATTCCGAAACAAACAGAAGTTTAAGGATAAAACATATCTGTCTGACTGCAACGTGGGGTTGCTCCATAGACTGTAGCTTAGCTTGTCGCATAGCTGTTATATATTTGGTCTCACACAGGACCTCACCCGGTTCACAGGGTATCTGACTTACCGAAGGCCAGCAGACATGTGAACGACTGAGCCGTGCTCCAGGGTGCCCCGTACTAGTATTTATTAATAAAATATACGGCTCCTCACAGTAGACGCAGAAAGCTCCATTGATTTGAATGTAATCTCATTATTTCCACTGCAGTGTAGCCACACATAGATCCATGGTGTAACAATAAACACATTAAATGTTAATCGGAGAATACATTATACATATACATTCTTAATACACGTGCACAGAGGTTTTCAGAATTTTCTGTTCACGTTTTCATGAAAAAACACTGTTTTAATGCGACCGCAGTAAACCTGGATGTAACGATAAACATTAATAATACATTTTAGGATGCATTTTCAGAGGATCTGATTCATGACTTTAGGTTGAGTATATATTTGGGTCACTAACTGCTGAAGTTTCGAATTCTCTGTTCAGTTTTCATGTAGTTCGAGAGAGTTCTAGTTTTGAACGTCCAGTTATAGATAGCTAGCAGGGCTGTTACTCGCCGAGGTTGTCCTCCAGTATGGCTGCCGTGGCTGCTAGTCACGTGACCGTAGGATCCCTCTATAGCGCCGCACCGCAAGTACACTGAGTCGGGGTGCGTTCACAGACGGTGGAAACCGTAGGAATTTTTAGTTTTCGGCGGAAACAGTGCGGAGAATACAGGAGGGAGGAACTTTCTCTCGTTGCGTTTCAAAAGAGAAAACAGATTTCACTCAGTTTTAAATGGAAAACAAATTGTCTGCCGTTCATGACACATGATATGAACTAATTCATGTTCAAGTTATTTATTAAAAAATGTGTTCAACGTTTCACGAAAAAATGAGCGTGTTCAATGAACGCGTTCTTTTGAACTCGTTCACGCACAACACTGCCTTTGGCCTGGGCCTTGCTCATTGGACCAGGCCACCAGGCAGGGTAGGAGTTTGCAAAGACCGTGAGGATGAAATTAAATTAAAAGAAAGAAGAAAAAAAAGAAAAAGAAAAAAAGACCGTGATGATAGGGCAGGCCCAGGCCACTTTGACACGCAGGCCACCGGGAGATCTCCCGATGCTCCCGATGGCCAGTCCGGGCCTGCAGACACAGCATCTGAGTGTGAGCTAGAGGAGCATCGCCCTGAGCTGCCAGAACCACTGACCGCCTTGTATGACTCCTCCCTTGGGCAGCAGGTGTCACAGGACATCACAGAACGATGTGAGGAAGCCTTTCACAACATAAAAAGAAGCATCCACCCTGAGCAGTGTGAGAGACTTTCAGCCATTACAACACAACAAGCGGAATCACAATCCTGGCATTTACACAGAGCAGGCAGAATCACAAGCACAACATTTTACAGTGCATCAAAAGGTGATCATGTGGACAGAACAACCTTAATTAAAATCATGCACTATAATGAACGCAACATCCAAGTTCCTGCTGTTATATGGGGAAGAGAGAAAGAGAAAATTGCTCGTCAGTTTTACACGGACGAGCTCTGTAAAACTCATACAAATGTCAAAGTTAGTTTGAGCGGTTTTGTAATACGGCCTGATGAACCACACCTTGGCTCATCCCCAGATGGGAAAGTCTCATGTTTATGTTGTGGGGATAGGGTTTTGGAAATCAAGTGCCCATATCGGTACCGGGAAGGCCTTCTGAATGCCCCTCTAAAAGAAGATTTCTGTCTTGACCAAAGATTCCAGCTAAAGAAGTCACACCAGTACTATCACCAGGTTCAACTCCACATGTTTGTTTGTAATGTCGATTTCTGTGATTTTGTGGTTTGGACACCTAAGGAACTGATAATAAATAGGATCGCAAAAGATGAACAGCTCTTACAACAGGCTTTGCCTATGGCAAAACAATATTTCTTATCTAATGTTTTACCAGAACTATTAACCCGCAGCCAAGATCCTACACTTCAACCATTAAGATTTTGTAGCACCTGTAAAAAGCCAGAGTTCGGGAAAATGATTGACTGTATGGTGTGTAAAGACGTCTTTCATTATAGTTGTGTGCAAATTAAAAGAAAACCAAAGAACTGGTATTGCGCTCAGTGTAGATGAATTAACTCGCATTGGTCAATCACATTAGGACAGAGTTAAACATGTTTTGTGATGTTCTTTTTTTATAAACATGCAGTTCAACATTCACATTTTAATGTAATCTTATTTATTGTCCACAATGAATGTGAGAAATGACATTTGGTCTGAAGTTTTCAGCTAATGAACATGTGGTTATAAATACAAAGACATGTAAATATAAATGAAAATATGTACATACGAAAATGTCACGTAAAATGTTTCGATGTCACAATAAAACTCATTTGCCTTTAACAAATATTTTGCAGAAATAAAAATGTCAGAAACCATTAAACTAGTTATCTCTTTACGCACTGTTCAATTAAGAAAACATTCAAACAATTTATAAAAACCTAAGGATTTGAAATTGATTTCAAATTGATATTCACAATGTTTGTGCAAGCTCGCTCAAACTACAGGATACAGATGACTGCTTTTTAATCTTTAGTGGAGTAATCAGGTTGAACCCAATTTAGTTGTACAATTGTATAATCACAAAGCTTTTAGTAAATGTAGGAGGGCTTTTTTAACTTAAACCATTACACAATCTTTCATAGATGACACACTTTCTCTCTTAGGCACAACAGATTTACAAAGATTAGTTAGAGCCCCACACACAGTTACCATGTCATCTAGCAGGTCAACTTGGGAGATTGGAATCACAGAATGTAAAACTTTGAAGCTCTTCCATTTACTAATGACTCTTTCCACGTGAATGCGGACATGAGAAAGTTTTCTTTAACTATGTACCTCCCTAGCAGGAAGCTGGCTCTTTCCTTTAGTAAAACTTGGAATACGCAAAGTGGCACCATATGCAGCAAGCTCATCCCTTATTAAAAATCCTCGGTCAGCTAAAATGTCATCTCCTGGTTCCAAATTACTTAAAAACCCTGATTCAAGTGTTATTTGTTTGTCTGACACTCTGCCCCCCCAGCCAGTGGACAGAAAGGAAACTGCACCTGCAGGTGTTATTCCTACCAGGTACTTAATGGTGTTATTATGCTTATAATTTGACCATGTTTGCGCACGGGCTGTCAAATCAGAAGGTCTTTCAATAAATATTTCAGTACAGTCTATGATGCATCTACATCTTTTGAAATTCCGCCTGAAAGCTTTTGGCATGCTTTTGAGCGTAGCACCCTTACTTGGCCATTTAATAAGAGGTTTTAGCACAGATGCCATTACAGGAAACCAAAACCTTACAATTTTGGACACTTGGCTTTCAAAAATATTGAACCTGTAGGCGAGATCTCTGTTACTAAGGCCAAGTCTGAGTTTCATGAGCACCAATAGTAAATGATCCTCCAACTCGAGACCGGGAACTTGCTGTAACACACTAGGTTTTAATTTGGTCATTATCCAACTAAAGATTGTCCAGGTGAGCCCAGTCAGAAAGAGCAGATATGCAGCATTACTTTTAACTGTGGCGAATGTGAAGTGTGATTGGTGGAGTTCTTCTTTCAGTTTTTGGTTTTCTTCTTTGAGTGTATAAAACTCTGTTCTTAACTTAAAATAGTCATTGTTCAGTTGTTCATATTTCTGACTCAGAGCATTGTATGTCTTCTGTGTGACCATTGGCTCTGGCTCAGTCTCTGCCTCTTCTTCCTCACGGTCATGTAGTAGTGGCACATGGTCCATGTCAGCAGACTCCTCATCAGGAACCAGAACCTCATTTGCTTGAAAAACACACGATGGGTGTCATTTGAAAGTACAACATGCACAAAACATTCTGTAAATAAATGGTTGCATGCTACTCACTGTAGCTATGGCCATTCTGTTCCATTTTCAGGGCTTCTCTTCTTCTTTTTCTTGCAAGCCTAAGAGAAGAAAGCCATGATTACAGAGACTACAAAGACACAAAAAACAGAATTTATATATATATTTTTAAACTTACCTCTCGATCTTTTGCACTGGCACGCTAGCCTGCTGTTTATATGTAAAAACAGATGGGACGAAGTCTGGGCTTTCAGCATCCATAGATGCCTCTCCTAAAAAGATTTAAATAAAAAAAGACACTATAATAAAAGTCGTGATTTGTGTCCAAAGTAGTATTTTAGGATCTCTGGTATTGCTGGTTTGGTCCTAGCACCGACATTTAATTTGGTTGTTTTTTGTTTTTCGATCTAGTGTAGACTGGGAATAAATCGGCATTTTATGGCTCAATTAAATACTTTTAAAGGCTTGAGATATCATGTAACATAAGTAAATTAAGTGACCAATGTGGGTTATTTTTTACGATCACAAAGAAACCGCGACAGATTCTCCATCAGCAATGTTTTGTTTTGTTTACCCGGTTAGCATATTCACGCTAGCTAATGCGTTGATAAAGACAAGACATTTCCCCGACATCTTCCTTCGTAGTTTTGAGCCAGCTGTGTCCGAGTTGGGTCAGTTACAATTTAGTTAATTTGGACCAACGTGTTATTGTTTATCTCTTACCTGTTATGAAGTGTGCGCTGCAAACGCGAGCATTTCTGATGATCGTCTCTGTCCAGTCTTTTCTTCTTACTGCATTCAACCACAAATGTCTTCGTTTTTTCTGAGAACGAGTGTCCGCTGGAATCCTATAAAACTTTAGTTTACTTACACTAACGCTATTCTTCCTATTCTGGCACCCAAACACACAACAAGACGACATTTTACAGCTGTAACGTTTGACCGGTTTCACTAGCTTCCACTGTCTTTAGCCAGCGGCTTTTCCTGTTTTTGCCTCCAGCTGGAGTTGTGACGTCACTCGTGACGTAGGCCATTAAGGGGTCTAAGCCAGGGGTCGGCAACTCAAAAAGTTCAAAGAGCCATATTTGAGCAAAAATAAAAAAAACAAATCTGTCTAGAGCCGCATAAACTTTACTGCCTTTTTTAAGGTTTATATGAAAGCAACACAGGCTGTAAGCTGTATTAGCCTACTATCAAAATGAGTAAGTATAGGCTACAAATACATAATATGCATTCATGATTATTATATATATATACATTTTCACTGTAGTGCAAGAGAGTGACGCACCATGTGACTACTCTGCTATACCATATATGCTTTAAGTTTAACTTTCCTTTTGTTGCGTTCATGCAATTGTAGAAAATACAGTAAATACATCTGTTTTTGGCTCAGTTCTCATACCTGCATTACAGCACTTTCTGTTCATATCGATCACGTCACACGTCGTCACGGCTGGAGTTTGCTGGAGCTGAATGTCCCGAACGGTGTTTCGCACTTTTTTGTTCCTCGTGTTGCAACAAAATTCAGGCGTAGAAGTTTGGAGATGAATCCTCCAGAATAACTGCGATCGCACTGTTTCTCTCCAAACTGGGGTCAGCAGCCGATTTTCCACATGACTCTTTTTGTTCTTCAATATATTCTCATTACAAAGCAAACATGAAGCAGTCCTTCCTCATTGACTCAATGAGAGCCAAATGTTACAGTCCATTTGTCCTTGAGTTCCTGGTTCTTATCAAGTATTTCCCTTTTTAGCTTTGGGATTTATGCGGACTCATGTGGCACATGCTGGTTTGTTTACAACAGCGGCCGCCCGGCGCGGGGCCGCGTAACCGCGCGTCGCAGGATATGACGCACATCTCAGTTGACACAAATGTTAAAATTAAATATTTCTTATGCACATTTTTACTGCATTGGAAAACATTAAGAATGTTGTCCTTCCTACAGAAACCACATTGAAACTATAAATAAAATATACCCTTCCCACTCCATTTTCGGACATTTTTGAAAAGGCTCCAGGAGCCACTCAAGGGGCAGTAAAGCATGCGGCTCCGGAGCCGCGGGTTGCCGACCCCTGGTCTAAGCCTTCCAGAATGTAAGCCTGATACAATAGTCTAAGCCTTCCAGAATGTAAGCCTGATACAATAGTCTAAGCCTTCCAGAATGTAAGCCTGATACAATAGTCTAAGCCTTCCAGAATGTAAGCCTGATACAATAGTCTAAGCCTTCCAGAATGTAAGCCTGATACAATAGTGAGACTCGAATAATTTGAGTATTGTTCAAAAGTCTACTATTTACTACTGCCATTCAACTTACAATGTGAAGCTGACTTATGGCGCACTCATTACATTCAGAGAGAGATATATCAAGTCTTTATTTGTTGAGAAAGGGCAGGCTCCTTTTGTGGCACCGGCACCTGCCACAGCTGATCAGTGGCATGTACACAACAAATGGCGTTTAAAACGGCATGTGGGCAATAAATGGCGTTTAAAACGGCATGTGGGGAATAAATAGCGTGTAAAACAAATACAGTTGAAAGCAGCCTGTACAAAAGACAACAAGCAGGAGTAGTAGAGATAGTGGTCCAGTGGCTCAGATGGAAAAGCACAAGCCTACGTTGTTGATGGTTGCTAGTTCAAATCCCCAGTGACTACCAATGACATTTGCTGATGTTGGGTCCTTGGGCATAACACTTCATGGAGAATGTCAGAAGTGCCATAAGTTGTTTTTAAAAAGGTAGTTTGAGTTATAATAAATTAAATTAAAAATTTGTTGAAAGACTTAATTTCATGTATTATATGTGGTTTAGATTCAGAAGAACTATATATTCCTGTGGCGCATTTGGTTTATAACTGTCTCTCATGCAGAAGATACCTGGTTCAATTCCAGCTCTGGTCTTTATTTTTTTGTTGTCAGATTAAATACAAATTGAATATGTATGAATATATATTTCATACATATGGTTATGTGTTGTTCCAATAGTAATCTTGCATTAGGATTAATATTGCATCATCGTTAGGGTAAAACTAAATGATGTAACACTCAAAAACTTTTTTAAGTAAGTAAGTAATCTTCATTTATATACCGCCTTTCACAGACCAGAGTCACAAAGCGGTTTACAATTGTTATCATTCTTGGGCACTTGTCCTCTCACTCCACCAGATTTTGTGGAGTGAGAAGACATTTTCATTTTATGACGTTTATTTCTTTATACATAGATATATCTATAAATATCTATATATATCTTTATATATATATACAGTTTTTATATAACTTCCATTAAAAAAAAAACGGTACTTTGATTCGATCTGCCAATCTTACGCACTATAGACGAATGTTTAATGACTGCGCCACTTATTTCGTGTTTTGGCAAAGAAAAAACCGAAAGATTCTATTGTTGTTTTAGGACATTTCATCAAGAATGGAGCCAACCAAAGATGGTGAAGAGTGATGGATTGAAAAATACAAGCAGAAAGTTGTGTAATTGGAACATGAGGTTTCATCTCTATATTGTTAAAATCTTCATTTCTGTTCTTGGACCGTTTAAGCTGTGTCTTATACTTTGCATTCTTTTATTAAAAAATATATGTATTAATGCTCTTTCTTATTGTTCCATGTTTCTGATGTGGTTTTATTAAAGAAGAGAGAGAAATAAAATGATTTTTTCTTTTCTTTTATATATATATATATATATATATATATATATATATATATATTATGTCATACATATTAAATTTGTATTTAATCTGACAGAGAAAAATGTATGACCTGTCCTGGATTTGAACCAGGTATCTTCCGCATGAGAGGCAGTTAAAAACCAAGTGCGCCACTGGATGATATATGGAATTTAAACTATATATAATACATGAAATTAAGTCTTTCAACAAATTTATGCAATAACATATATTATTATTACTCAAACAACATTTTTCAAACAATTTAGGGCACTTCTGACATTCTTCATGAAGTGTTAGGCCCAAGGACCCAACATCAGCAAATGTCATTGGTAGTCACTGGGGATTTGAACTAGCAACCATCAACACCGTAGACCTGTGCTTTTCCATCTGAGCCACTGGACCACTATCTCTAGTAATGCTGCTTGCTGTCTTTTGTACAGGCTGCTTTCAACTGTATTTGTTGCCCACATGCCGTTTTAAACGCCACTTGTTGTGTACATGCCGTTTTAAACAGCATTTATTGCCCACATGCCGTTGTAAACGGCATTTATTGCCCACATGCCGTTTTAAACGCCACTTGTTGTCCACATGCCGCTTTACACGCCATTCATTCCCCACATGCCGTTTTAAATGCCACTTGTTGTCCACATGCCGTTTTAAACGCCACTTGTTGTCCACAAGTGGCGGCGGCACGGTGGCTGAGTGGATAGCACTCTCACCTCTCAGCAAGAAGGTCCTGGGTTCGAATCCCGGTCAGACCAGGGCCTTTCTGAGTGGAGTTTCCATGTTCTCCCCGTGTCTGCGTAGGTTTCCTTCGGGTACTCCGGTTCCCCCTACCACTAAAAATATGTCCAATAGTTCTAGCATGCGCCTCCTGTACTGGCGACCCCGCTCCCATCTCTGTGCGGAGTGAGAGACAAATGCCCAAAAATTAACAATTGTAAACCGCTTTGAGACTCAGATCTGCAGTGAAAAGGCGGTATATAAATAAATAAAAAAACTTAAACTTACATGCCATTTTAAACGCCATTTGTTGTGTACATGCCACTAATCAGCTGTGGCAGGTGCCGGTGCCACAAAAGGAGCCTGCCCTTACCGTATTTGTTATGATGTTTATAATTAAGGCTCATAGTTTGAAAAAATAAATAAAATAAAACATTGCAGAAAATGAGATTATTTTAAATATTGACTTTAAGCCAAAATCATCAAAATCATAACAAAGCCTGGGATGAGGAGTAACAAATTGAGCTAACATCCAATCTACATCGCACCTCGCTGATCCTCCTGCAGGTGGAGGTGGTGGGGGGGATTCAGGCGAAGAGGGGTTAGGAGCTATGCCGTGGGTGGATTGAATCTGCGACCATCACAATATCACACCTTTTCACAGTGACATTTGTTTACTGTTTTATTTGTTTATTTCTGTCTTGTAGTGTTGTTTTATGTCTGTATTTGTCTGTGCACACTGGAGACTTTTTGCTAATGTATTCCAATGTGGTGTTTTTACTGCAAATGGCAAATAAATAAACTGAACTAAAACTGAACTGAACTGAACCCTTTGCAAATAAGCCACTGTCGCCCCTTGTTTC